TATTCCAGTATCGGGCCGTATCACACAAACTGCATTTCTGAAGACTGTCTGAAACAGTGGAAAAATCAGAAAACACATTTCCATAATTTTGTAGAATGTTTTTATGGGACAGGAATTTGTGAAAGTGAAGAAGCAGAATTTTTTTTAAACTAAATAACAAAATTTGGTTGAGAGTCTGGACATTCTTTCAAAGGAAGCTCAAGATCTTTAATGTGATCTTAACTCATACACATCTAAATATTTCTCAATAAAATAAAACCTGGGAAGCAAAGAACTTGAGAATGGAATTATATTTTGATGGATCAATTTTCAGACATGACTATAGTGTTTTTCACCAATTTTTAAATCTACACCAAGCATTTTGATCTGCAAAAAACCCTGACACAGCCGAATGCAAAGTACTGGAGCTGCAATAGTTTTCTTGGTTAGATTAGGATAAAATGGGACAGCGTAAGTGCTGAAAGTTTGCTTTTAAATGCATAAAAACTTGTTCTGAAACACTGAAAAGATTGACAGTAGGAGTACTGTCATGTTTTACTCTAAAATATCCACGCGAACATTTATTCTCATCAATAAAATATCTCTAATCAGATCTAAGAAGTTATCCTACTGATGAAATAAGCGCCAACTGCGTTCGTCTGAAAACAACGATATACAAACTGAGAACTGAAGAGAATATAAAAGTACATAGCAGCAAGTGTCTCACGAAGTCCGTATGTAATTTTTATAAAATGCTGGCAAGATGGCAGGAAAAGCATTCACCGCCCCCGACCAAAAAAATGTTAAAATCTGCAATATGACGAGAGACTTCACAAAATCATACAAAATTCAACATCCAATATCAGTCAAAAAGCACGTTTTTTCCCTCACAAACTTTCTAACGTCCTTATTTCTATCAGATCAATATGAGTTGTGCTCCAGTAAATGTGTACGTGCAACAGACCCTGTTCTCAGGTCAAAACACAAACCCTTGATGCGAGGAATGTAGGCCTGTCAATAAAGTTTCAGAAATATCATTCTCTGCTTGAGGTCTGCGCGTACCTGCCATCTAGCTAAGGTAAAAGGGGCCTGCTGCACACGCCACCTCCGCGAAGGCAACTTCACGCATTTGAAGCTGCCTTCAAAGGTCAGATCAAGTACACAAATAATGAGTATTGTTTGTATGGCACGAACAGAGGGCATCTGACATATAAAAAATCTAGTGGGTTCCCCCGATGCCCTGAGTGAGTGAATTTTCCAGGACGATGTCAAACTCATCCAGCGATTCAAGGATCTGCTGCAGGAAAGTCAGCAGCGCTGGGTTGCGGATGAACGACTGCTCCTCGTACATCTCCAGCGTCACGCGGCACGCAGACAGGGGTCTCAGCATCCGCGACAGCAGGTGTTCTCTGGTAATAAGAATCAACCAACATCACTTATGCTAACAGGCATCAAGGAAATATCAACGGAACAAAGTGCAGCATCTAATGTACTGAAACTAGAAATTTAATATACTTACTTCTTTTGAATGCTGCAAAAAAAGTTACTAAGTATAATCTAAAGCTTTCACGACAATTAAGTATAATGACTTCTTCTACAGCTACCAGCTGTGTCAGGAGGTTGACAGGTGAAGACACAGTTTCGAGAACCACCTTCGTCCTCATCCTCAGGATACACGGGACCTAGGTACGCTGCGGACAAGGACAAAGACAGTTCGTGAAACATCGGTGTTTTCACCTTTCAACCACCTCATATGGCTCGTAGCCTGAAAAGAATTCATCGTTATATTATGAAGTAACAATCATAATTATACAATGGTGTCAAAAGATTATGTTCTAGTTACAGGCACACTGTTTTCTGCCATTTCTTATGAGAAGACATTTACAGAAATTCCATACAAACCAGTGTTAGCGTTTCTGTTGCTTCGATAGTAAAAGCCAATTTTTCCCATCGGTTCAATTCCTTTATGTAACTTATCATAAGGGACGCAAATATAACACATTTACCTTGGATGCAGTAACAATAAAATCTCTTAATTACAGTAAAGAGAACTGGAAGTAAATTTAAGTTTTAAAATTTTTACTACAAACAAACATGGAAAGGGCAAGACTGTAAATAATATGTTACATACATGTTTATTACATTCCACTGATCCATAAGTTAGTCAGATGACAACAGGTGGAATTAGTCATAATAATATAATACACATATACAACTATAAAAATTTCACATGATATAAACAAAGGGTTCGCATGAAGTAGTGACATGTTACTAATGTTTTAATCAATTATTCTTTGAATCTAACTATACAGTACATTTATGGCGGTAAGAAGTCTTGGAGTTGACTATAATTGCTACAGTGGTCTAATTACAAAACAGTTTATCAACAACGAGTGGTTGGAAATCAGAATAGTAAGAATGGCTTAAGGCATAGGGGGCCATATTGGGAATAAACCCCTTTAGAAGACAAAAATATAACACGAAGGAGCAATCTTCATCGAAAGTTTATTTCAGCTGTGACTCGGTATGCTCCGCCTGGTGTCAGAGGCCAGAGAAACATATTTAATTTCAATGAAAGGCTTGCTTTCTATCAGGAAGTAAATTTCATTCCTGCCCCTCCAATGAGACAAGTTCATCTGAGAATTTGAATCAGCTTTAAACGTGTGCACTCTGTTGAATAAAAATTTTCTTGGATATTATCCATCGTCTAGTAAATATAAAACGTAAAACGACGTTTCGGAGATGGGACTCTATCTCCGTCTTCAGGTTCCTACACAGTTGGGCCCACTAGAAAGAGCTAATCCCTATCTCCGGGTCCCATCTCCGAAACGTAGTTTTACGTTTTATATTTACTAGACGATGGATAATATCCAAGAAAATTTTTATTCAATTGACTCTTCACCATCGTCAAGAAGTTTTAGATTTGGTGTGCACTCTGTTTTATTTACAAAGCTAACACCAGTCTAGAAATTAATTCATGCTGTAAGCGTTGAGGTAAGAACAGTTGTGTTGTACAACATCTGAGAGATCACGACTAACGAAACAAACTAGGAGAAAGCCGATATGATGGAACATCGGGAGTCCAAACTGGGTAGTGTTACAGGTCAGACGTACGGGGTGAACAAGACCATACCACCCACAATTGTATTTGAAAGGCTGTCTGCCTGTCCCAAACAAGGCTAAGTTCAACGGTGATATGCCTGACAAGAGACAACGTGGCACACCGTATCAACATGGACTCCACTCCATAAAGAGTTTTTGTGCATTTATACATTTTAAAACAATTACAGTGCTGCTGACCTAAAAGATCAAAACCCATGACAGGCTATGGACTTATGCATCATGTGATGCCAAAACAGAACACAGAAATTTCTGACGAGGCCATGCACAAAACTTGATTGAAAAAGCTGCGAGTTTGCTTTGTTTCTGTCGTCCCACTGGCAGACCAGCTGTCAAAGACAGGAAACTTACTCGATTTGAAGCAAGTTTCATCAACTGCTGGCAAATTCGTTACTTTTGCGTGAGGGATACAAAAGAGAGTGCAAGTAAAATGCAGGGAGAGTTACGTGGGGCTGAGTATCGGTGTTTTGAAGTGTACCACAAAAAAAGTGACGTAATGAGTAGCGTTTATAGACACAAAAGAAGATTTCTTGTATTTCTCAATGTGTTCTGCCGAGTGAAATGCATCAGTGACGAAATGCATAAAGCCCAGCACATGGGCCTCTCATAAGAAAGAGGTTAAATGTATTTTTCTCGTAAAATCATAAAAAGGGCGGTATTAATTAATAATTCTACATTGTTTTTATTTTGTTACCTGATTTTGCTATAAGCTTTTTAGTCCCCTTTATAACATTATTCAGGATTTTACAATGATTTAATTTTTGGGTTAATACTGCTCCTACCGCAGACATACAGACCAAGATTTCTTTTCCCCCCCTTGTATAATCCAGCCATTCTTTATTTAGCCCATACATTTACATTTAATTGGAAAACTAGCTTTAAAGATATTAAAAAAGTTAACCTAATTGTTGGTATCACCATCTTCCCAAACAGATTCCCACGTTTCACTCTTAGGAGACGTTGAAACAGCACGACTGCTTCACAGGCATAAGTTGTAGCAATATCATTAATCATAAGATTCTGGGCATCACGGCATGATGTAGAAAATGAGCTAAATCTTACGCTACCCACAAAAATATTACAAATACAAAGTGGCATCACTGTATTCTGTCAGGAGAAGGGGAGGGCGTGTCGTAAATACTACAAGAAGGTACAACAGTTCCTAGTCAGAAGTAGAAGAGCGACTGATGTGAACACCCACCTGGCACACAGGCACACTAATAATTGGAACTTTCCATCCTTGCCAAGCGTGCGCCTTGAGCTTTCAATTTGATCAACCAGATGGCAGTAGCAATACAGCACCTGCTCTTCCAAGGAGTTACGAGTCATGTCTGGATCAGTCTCTAGGAGAGCAGCTTCAAAATGTTCCTTGGCACGCACTGAAAAACACAAGTTCTACTGTGGGTGACAGACCTTACGGTGAATGGCAACTTGTGTATTCTGGGTTCAAATATCTCCCCCAACACTTTCCTAAATACAGCCAATCTCTCTTCTACTCCCACAGCAAGAGATCAAATTATAATTAAAGTCACCATGTCATATTTATTATCTTACTTCCTGTCTCTCAACATTTCTATTTCCTATTCAGAAAGGTCTGAAGCACGACTGTAAACACACAAAAAATGGAAATATTAACATAATTTTCCATAGTTTGGCCACATTTTAGTGGAATGACACATGGCGAACAGAGACAAGTTTCACTGTACATTAGAATTCTGACAAATAAATTCTTATATTTTTGAGAACACTCTCACATCGTATTTAAAACAGATTTTAACAAAAAGTTCCCATTTATGTCTACGTCTCCAAAGTGGTTGCATTCATTCATGTACACATTTTTCATCTCTCACATGTGTGCTGCATGTTCCACCCATCTCATCCTCTGTGATCTGATCACCTACGAAAAATCTTTGAAGATGTTCACACTGCAGCCTTCTACAGCTTTTCCTCTGTGGTCAAAACTCTCTTAATGTACATCGTTCCTTTACAGTGAGGGACCAAGTTGCATACCTCAATAAAACCTCAGGTAAGATCACAGTTCTGTATATTTGAATTTTTAAAAATGACACACGATGATGAAGACTGGAGCACATATTTGAATTTCACTACATTTTCAAAGAATTTAACAGTCGTCAACTCACTGTGTTTCTGTTATGCATTTTACTGATGAGATAAGAGCAACTATTTCCTAAATTTTAAGATGCCATAAACTGTAAGATGCATCCTTGATTTAGTAATAAGTTTTCTGAAAAAAGATGTCATATCAGTTCTTAGACAGCATCAAATGTAAGACGCAACCCAATTTAAGGAATTTTACAACGTGAAAAAGGTACATCTTAAAATTTAGGAAATACGGCATATACAAACCTTTTTCTCCTTTCATTTCTGGACCAATTTCCTTACCATCACCTAACAGTTTCCTGTGGTATTTACATTTCACTTCAACTATTAACTCTGTATATTTGAAGCCCATCACTTTAAATGCTGTACTGAATCAGATCATACATGAACCTTTTTTAATGAAACGTTGCAATTAAATTAGATTACTTTACAGAAAATCACATTACTATGAAGCGCTCAATCTCCAATAAAATTTTCTTTCTATATTTGGCAAACTGCAATGTATCTGATATTCTAATTACACTTTGAGATTGTTTCGTGTCCTTCAGTTCATAAATGTTGTCAGTCACTTACAGAAATAGTCCCAGAGGTAGAGGTTGCGTCCAAACAGGCGTGTTGACTTGAAACCAGTGAGGAATGCCTGCTCCAAACAATACACAAGGCCTGTCTCCCCGCACAGGAGCAGTGTCAGCATGCTACGTTCTTTCTCGTGTTTGCGATGATACAATAACTTGACGATGCTGTTCACCGCATCACCTGGAGTGATATAGTGAGTTTGCATGGAAATACATAATTTCACTGCAGTTAAACTAATCAACTAATAAATATCAACCTAACAGAACAACTGATATATCAGAAAAAGTTATACAACCTAAAAATGCCGTGTTTTCATGGAACGACGTCACCATTACCAGTGAACTCTAATATCAGCAGTGAAGGAAAGGAGCACTTAAAATGTCATGAAAACTACAAAGATACAGTCTCCCTAGTACAGGCAGGTTTCAACGACATTTGATGTACTGCTGTTAGAAGAACATGGTGTATTTTGCCAAGGATATTTCTGCAACCGACAATGTGTTTGTCATAAACCAGATACAGAAACTTACTTACTCCATGAAGCTGAGTCCTTCCTGAGAAGCCAACAGTCATTCAACCACTCAGGAACTTTCCAACATTTTATAGAACTCTAAGGTTCATTACCATGTTCACAAGAGCCCGCCAATGGTCCATATCCTAAGGCAGATGAATTCAATTCATACCACCCAATCCTATTTATGTAAGATCAATCTTAATATTATTCTCCCACCTACGCCTAGGTCTTCCCAGTGGTTTCTTTCCTTCTGGTTCGGCCACCAAAACTCTGTATGCATTCCTCTTCTCTCCCATGCAGGCTACATGTCCTGCCCATCTCATCCTCCTTGACTTGATCAGTCTAATTATGCAGAAACTAATGGAACTTAATTTTAGAACACATCTAGCTTTTGTGGAGTACAAGAAAGTGCACAAAGTGTGAAAAGGGATGGTGTGTGGGAAATCTTACATGACAGATAATAACCACAATACATAATAACAATAACTTCAACAACAACAACAGGTAAAGAATTGTTTAACTCCTAGTCCCAAAAGAAATTTGTTTTCCTGCTCAATAAGCTAAATTTTGAAAATGACTTAAGAGCAGGGTTTCAATTTACCAGTAATTTCAATAAAATCCACTTGGGTGACAAGCCACATCAGAATGGAACCACAGTCCATCATTTAAGAGACATTCATCATCTCCATCATTAGTGAATGATGTGATCATCACATCATTCCCTTATGACGGAGACAGAGTATGTCTGTGAAACGCTGGAGTACAGTTCCAATTTTAAGTGGCTTTACTGCAGTTGGTCGCTGCGAAAGCCTCAAGTCACACCAGTAATTTCCTTACCCAGCATATGTTGGATCTCTGCCACAGAAGGGCGAGCGTCTTGGGATCTGCGAGGCACACTGGGGCTGTGGCAACGAGGTGGGGGCGTGCGACACGTCTCCACGAGCTCCTCACTGTCAACACTGCAAGGCACCAGCTCACCAACTAGCAGGCGCTCTGTTGAGTCATCATCAATGCCCCGCCCCAGCCATCGCCCACAAGGGAACCTGCCAGCATACTCAGCTGTTACACTTTAGGACCGCATTCTCGCATGTGGCCTGACCAGACAAGACCTCTTGGTGTATGGACAAGCTTCAAGCCTCAGAACAGTCAGATCAAATGAATTTTTTAAATTTGGGCTCTCCAAAAATATGTAGTATATATTAAGAGATCTTAACGACATCAGTGACATGACAAAATGACACGTGTGTACACTAGAGTTCATAAACTGGGCAACTTTGCAAGAAATGCCAAAATTTGAATTTGAAAAACTATCATGTTACATTTGTAGAAATCAATTAAATGTGCAGCTTAAAATTACATTCTCAAGCTGTACCAGCCACACGGTGTTTCAGCGTATTCAAAATCATATTTTTTACAATCCGAAGCTGAAAAATGTATGGCATATGATAAACATAAAATGCCATATCAAATCTAAAACTTCTTGACGATGGTGAAGAGTCAATTGAATAAAAATTTTCTTGGATATTATCCATCGTCTAGTAAATATAAAACGTAAAACGACGTTTCGGAGATGGGACTCTATCTCCGTCTTCAGGTTCCTACACAGTTGGGCCCACTAGATAGAGCTAATCCCTATCTCCTGAAGACGGAGATAGAGTCCCATCTCCGAAACGTCGTTTTACGTTTTATATTTACTAGACGATGGATAATATCCAAGAAAATTTTTATTCAATAAAATGCCATACTTTCTTCCCTCTACAGCCAACTGTAAGAAGAACAACAACAACTGTGTGAAGGAAATCACTAGCCTAAGATAGAGACAGAAACATTTACCTGTCCATGTCAAAACATTGGTGGAACTGAGTTTGTTTCAATTTTCGGTGAGCGTTCCTGAGATCTGTTCAATGTCATTATAAAATATATATTTTTTAAACAAAAGGAGCAGTAGAAGCAGCACAAAGCATCAGTGTCTTGGTACGACACATATTTGAAAAATCAGTATTGATCAACTGATGAGAAGCCAAACATGCATCACTGCCATCACACGTCTTCCAAAGAAATTTTACCTGAGGCAGTTACGATCTGTCATCACAGAATATTCCCTTGAGAATACTGGCCTTGTTTTTAAATTAGACTAAATGGAAGAAAACATTTACAATCATGCCGGCAGATCGCATTCATATCAGTATGACCTGTGTGCCCACTCACTTGTACATGTGTCCTGTCACCTCATTCCGCACCACCACGTGCTCCACCATCCATTTAGGGGACGGCCCACAGTTATCGTGCCCGATCCTCAAAGTTGTGAGGATACCAAGATTCTTGTGCTGTAACATAACAGCTTTCAGACATCACGGTACAGTTTCTCTTTCACTGCCGCGTCAACAAGATTGCATAAAACTTCACTTACGCGAAACACAAACTCCAGGGCTCCACGGGGGATAGGCACTGGGGATGTTTCGCCGAGCGTGCCCGATATTGTAACCCAGGAGTTAGCCGAGGTGGTGGCAGCACTTGTCTTTCTGGACGGGAATATCACGACACGGTATGGTAGTACTGCAAGACAGACACAAACCTACTAAAATCTGTAGCAGTCTGTTGTTGCCAATACAGCTTATCTGACTCAGAACACCAATTTCCTATGCACAATACTTCAAAAGAATTCTATAAAACCAAATTATTTAACTGTATATTTGGTTGAAAATACATAAAACCTATTTAACTGTATATTTGGTTGAAAATAAAATATACATATAAATGCAGTATAATCTATCCATATGGGTCCTTGAGAGAAACAGTACATGGCTAAAACACAACTGTGTGCACTAAGGGAGAACAGACCAAAAAAAGGCTGATACAGGCAATCATGCAGGATGCCTGGGAAACAAAGTGAACACACAGTTTGACTCTCTCTTTCTCCCCCCCCCCCTTTCCCCCAAGCAGAAGGCTGCCCGAGGTGGGAGTATAACGTTGAAACAGATGTTTGAGAAATAAAATGTGACAATGGTTTACACAAGTCATTTGGTATTGTTAGGATAACAAAATCAAGGTCATTATGTAGCTCAGGTGGAAGAGACATGAGATGCATGCAGAATTTTGGTGGAGAAGCCTAATGGAAAATGGCTACTTGGAAGACGCAGGCGATGCATTAAATTTAAATGGATGTTACGAAAACGCCATGTGAACGGAACTGATTTCAGAGACCTACGATATTAGCGGTACTGAACCTACTCACTGGTGCCTGTGTATGTGTTGGTGAAACAGAAGTACTCGACGGCATTCAGGGTTAGCAGGTGATATAAAAATTGCTCCTTCTCATCTTCACAGCGCAGGAACGCGTATCGCTTGTACTGGCTCCTGCAACCACAACAAACTTATCAAACCTAGGGGACGCACATGGGGCAGCCACACTGCCTCATGGAGGGGCAAGCCGTACCTGAGCAACGCCGAATCCGAGAGCAGTGTGTGCAGATGTCTCGACAGCAGCTTCTTTTCTAGTGACAGTCTCACCCAGGCTCGTGCATAACCAATGTGGGTCTTGATGTCTGTCATTGCTTGCACATTCCTATAAAGCAGGAGATTTGAGATTTTAACTCTGCCATTGCCCAAATGTTTAAAATAATCATTCTGTGAAAGGCTGCTTATCCACATCTGAATTTAGATACATAAAATAAAAACGTCAAGGGCATTTCATTAAGCACATTTAAAACAGCCATCAACCTTTCTCGACAACTTCTACCTACGATATTGGATACAATGACGTCTGAGTGGTCCATAGAGTTCTTTGGTTAGGAAAGTAAAGACATAGCAGTTACAAATCATTGTGCTATTGTTCTGCCAGCCAGACTTTAACTCTGGAGAGGTTCAACAGTGGCAGAATGCTTCTTTGACGTAGCAGGATGCCATACTACTCTATAAAATATGCGCCGAGATTTCAAACCATGTCCTAAGTTAAATGACTACTGGGCACGTGAAAAGTGCTGGCTGTCTGTAAATTCCTAAAACTTGATTCTCTCCAACTACAAAAATGAGTCTCAACATTACTTCACAGTCACTGTAAAACTACTGTGCAGTGAATCATTTCAGAGCCACTGTAAAACTACTGTGCAGTGAATCACACTAAAAACATAAACTATCATTAAAACCCACATTCCAGATTTTCAAATACATTAACACTAGTTAGAGTAAACTGATTTCTTACTAAACCACCTTCCATTCGACAGTTCTAGTTACACTACCGTGTGCGAGTACAGTATGATAATTCGCCTTAATAAATGGTAAATATATTTTATAACGCAGTCACCTTAGTTCTTTATTGCACCGAACACAAATGACTACGACCGCATCACAGACACTTTCACAAGTTTTCACAGTATCAATGCAAATCCTATGACCTAAAACCAACAATCAAGAAAATTACCTCATGTCAGTGGTCAACGATACAGGCAGGGGATGCAGATTCGGCTGGTCCGAGTTAGAAGGGGTGAAGGGAGCAGTGTTGCTACACTGTGGCCTGCTGTCCGTTGGCAATTTGTGTGTCTCTCGTCCATGTTGCTGACTGGATGTTGAGAAATCCGTCTCCAGTGCCATTGAAGACAGATCTGAAGACGAACAGTCACAGAACGTCATTGAAGCGGAACGTAGTTTGAACCCAGACCAAGCCATGGCTGAAGTCAAATCTTAAATCGACTGACATGCAGAATATTTAATCAAACATTTGTTTCTTATGTCAGTTCATAAACCCACTAGCACCATTATGAAGGATGAAACAAGCTTCCTACCATATGTTCAACGTTAGTCAAGGGAAGATCAATCAATACCTGACCCTACAGAACCACAGATGCATTATTCCACAGCTTACAATATCATTTTAGAAATGACAGCTTACAGCAACATGAATTCACTATTCCATAGCTTATAATTCTAGAACTGACATGATAAGGCCTTCCTAAAGCTTATTTCTTACCTTGAGAACACACTAAACACTGCTTCTATGTACAATGGAAATCACTATGGCTGGAGTTACTGTACAAAATATTTTCTACAAGCACATGACACCCAGTCACATTAGCACATTCATTGCCAAAATCTACCTATTAGAACTTGCATAAAATTTCAAGTGTTAACCGTTACGTACATCACCGCGGCACAATACTTGCCATTCTAAGAAGTAAATAAATGAAATATTATATTTTTGGTGTCATCCACTCCACCGATAAGGCTGCTACACACAATATAACACCCTGAATGTCTACTAAAGGTATGCCGAAAATTTCAAATGTCTCAATTCAATACTGCCCGTGTAATCATTTTATACAGATAAGGGTGTGAAAATTGGCAGACTGCTTCACAAATCCCTGGCGTTTAAACTTAGTTATTTATTTAAATACCCAGCAGTGAATGCGGTAGAGTGGATCAAATACAAGATATATTCATAGGAAACAAATCTACAACAAGATACAAAAGTCTCCATTAATTTATACAAAGATTACACTTAACATACCTCAACTTCACAAACTGCGCATTGCTCAGGTACGCGGCAAAGCTCTACAATGCTGCCAGACATAAGAGAGGACAGGAGTGAATCTGCAAACCCCAAGCCTAGAAAATGGATGGGGGGGAGCGAGGGGCTGTCACAACACCAAATAAAATTAAACTCCCAGATATACAACACCCTCACTCCTAACATTGTGAATAACGATCTACATCGTGCTGCACGGTACATAACAGAACATGTAACAACACCACACAACGTCAGACGTAAGAGTGATGGCACAGGATGCAAGTGCAGCGATGCCAACCTCAAAATTAAAGAAAAAATAAAAGAAGCAGGCGGTGATGTAACTAAGTACACATACTCCTTCACTTGGATTGTACTTTGGAAAAAGACAGCCAAAAGGCCTCCAGACAGGCACACAACCAGACACAACATGCAGTAGAGATAATCGAGCAGACGTACAGTCAAGTCTCTTCCGCAGCACGCACCACGCAAGGGCTGTCCAGTCAACATGCAGCCAAACAAACAAAACTCACATCATTAGTACTCTAGAAAGTATGTCATATGAGACTAATTTATTGCATCCAAACTTGTTATTTATACCTGCTCATTGCCATATACGTATTTTGGAATGACTACACTATTATTACACGTTCTAAAAACATTTCTTGAGATGGGGAAATGAAAAAATATACATAAAATCTTTGTCGGGAAACCTGAATGGAGCAGAATACTCAGAATACATATTTACAGATGGCAGGATAATATTAAAATGGACTGAATGGAAAGACAATGGGAGGGGATAGGGTGGACTCTTGTGAATGTGGTAATGAAAACTATTGTTTCCATAAGAGGAGAGGCAGAAATTTCTTAACTAGCTAATCACCTCTTCGCTTCTCGTGAATGGCTCTGTCCCATGGCATTAGGTTCAACAAAAGCTTCATGATAAAATTTGTTCTTGAAATTTAACTGCAGTATACTGAGTTCTTGAATGAACGCTATTTTCATTTGGTAAATACTTTACATTTAATATGTCTTCCTGAAAAATTACACGCTTCTCTCACTTCATAATTACCGACCAGCAAAAGCCCATCTGCGATTGGGTGCTATGACTTTTTCCTGATATGAGTCTAGAATTCTGTGTAACAGCAAAGACGCCACCTCTGTATACGCACGTACTTCAAACATTGTTTAAATAGGTTAAGGATGTTCTTCATGAACACATTCAATAGCTCAGATTAAACAGCATCACCTGATAGATGATCATGGAATAATGAATTTCAAACAATGATGAATACCAGCATCTTCTATCTAAGCAAAACAGCAGTGCTTAATACCACATCTATTCTGTTCATAACTTTCAGGCATTAACACAGCATTATAATCATTCATGTTTATCCCTCAAATTCCATTAGAAATTAACAATATTATGTTATGTCCATTCACTGCTAAAATAATGCTTGTAAGTTTTATAACTCACTGCCCACTACAAACACAAACTTTTAATTATCATCCTGAAACGACGAAGTCTTGTAGCAATCCAAAGCCACTCATTTTGAGAATAACATCCACAAAAGACACTTCTTCAGCAACGCAACTCATGAGTTGTGGTTTTCTCATTTTTAATAACCATCTTCCCCGGGATTCTGAACTTGTCAGTGATGAGAACATTCTCTTTTTAGCTTTAAGCCGATAATAAGCATACCTCCCTCCCACTCCCGGGCCCACCTGCATGTCTCAATTACATAAAAATATGAATTTAACGAATAAAGTCTTGGATTAAGTACTTTTCTGGGAGGACACACTGCTCTGCAAGTTACCACAATTCCTGAATGTAATTGTTCTGAAACAATATTGTGAATTGGAATGAAAACCGAAATAAGTAATAAATTATAAGTAAACATACAAATACCTTCACCAGGGAATGTATGAGGTGCGATCGGAAAGTTTCAAGACTGCGCCTATAAAAAAACCCGTACACTTATCTCAGGTATTAAATTCATCCATCGCCCTCGAAGTAGTTCCCCTGGGAGTGAACACAACGATCCCAGCGCCGCTGCCAAGCCTGGAAGCATCCCTGGAAATCTTTCTTTGTCAGCCTGTCAAGCACCATCTGCGATTCTGCCTGAATCTCTTCTATCGTCTCAAATCTCCTTCCCTTTAGCTAAATTTTCATCTTTGGGAAGAGGAAGAAGTCACACGGAGCTTAAAAAGGAAGTTGGGGTCGGTTCTTGCAAGATCTTTAAGCTCCTGACAAACGAGAAGTCGATTCTGCTTCTAGTCCTCTGACAGGATGCGTCGCATGTGGAGTTCTTCCTTTAGAATCAGCTAACAGGTCCCATAGCCTATCCCAACAATGTCGCACAAATCGTTGATGGTACGACGTCGATCTTCGTAACAGTTTCGGGCGTTGTGCTCGAAGATGGTCGTCCAGAACGCTCGTCATCATCGACAGAGGTTCGGCCATTTTTAAAACGTGAATGCCACACAAAAGTTTGTGCACGACCCATTGCGGACTCCCCAAATGCTTGCTTTAGCATTTCATAGGTTTCCGTAGCCGTTTTGGCGAGTCTTTGGCAAAATTTGATGCACACGCCATTCCGAAAGCGCAGGAGGGTCGGTGTAATGCACTACCAAAACGCCCATAACTA